ATATTTTAACTTTTATGTGCATCTTACAACTTCTAGAAAACCACAAGAGTAGTTCACTCCAGGAGCGCTGTACCACAGTTTTATAGGTTTTATCGGCCCCATCACACTGTGGAAAAATAACCATCGTCCTTCACATATCCACCAGATTTACATTATTAATTAATCTATTTTTTAAAATAATCAATCACTAATTCAGTCTATAAAATGTCAGAAAACAACTAAAAATAAACATTTAAATTTCTTGTTTTGTCCAAAAACTAAAACAAGAATATTACATGTACAGTGATATATATAAAAATACATTTCTATCAGTTTTTATTTAGTCCACTTACTGTCGGAGGAGTTGCTGTGTCAGCAGCAGCAGTATCTGTAACAGAGAGATAAGTGGAGATGACATTGAAGAAGAAATGATGAAGAAAAGATAAAAACAACCAGGAATCCTCAAAGAAAAAGTTTTACGTCCAACGTACTGATCTCCACGAAGCTCTCCGTCATCGTGCCATCGTCCACACTCAGCTGAGCTTTATCTAAGACCATATCCCCCCGACTCCCTGTATCCCCTGTTTCTGTCTCCTTCCTCTCTCTTTTATTCCCTTCTTCTTACTCTCCGTCCTAATGGCCGCCCTCCTGCCGTGCCTATGGTCTGGTACAATGAGACACCTGAGCAGGTGAGTGCAGTCGGTCAGAGCGAGGATCGGATGACCCTGCACCTCCCACTCAGAGGGTAAGATTACAGACTCGTGTGTCCAGAGGAGGAGGAGGAGGAGGATGGTCACTGCCTAGACGCCGTCCAGCGGCTTCACTGTCCAGCTGCTGACTGCCAACAGACCCATGAACAGGTTCTATAATACAAATGTTAATTAAAGGCTCAGTTCTCACAGGGACTATTTGTTTAGAAGAACGTAGTTCCCATGAGAACTGTTCACAGTGACGTCTGTGGATTATGTGTTCCTGTTTTTCTAATATAGTTATTAAATACTGTGAGAATCACAAATACAATTCTATTAAGGTAAGATACAACTTTATTTATCTAGAGGGGAAATAGTTTAATTTTCCTTTATTGTACTGAGATTGAGACGCAGCCTCTCTGTGGTTTGTTGTCCATAAGCGGGTCTGCTCCGGGACTGAAAGCTGCTGGTTTTTATCATCTACGTCAGTGAATTAAGGATTTATTTCCACCAAACCAGAGTTGGTGATTGTTGAAGAAACTAATACAAACAGTTCTGGTGAGTTTTATTTTGTTTCTGTCCAGTTTGAAGCGTGTTTTTACAATTATCTGCTAAAATGACTGGTTTTATTAATGGAGTCTGGTGTTGTTGCTGCTGTGTATAGTTTTGGTCTGAGATTCTGGTGCTTCAAAAATAAGTAACCTTCAATATTTAACAAATGTCTCTATTTCACTCACATTAAATAAATGAATTTGAAGATCCAACTCACAACAAACTACTTCAACACAAAGTGATTATAAAAAAATAGATATTTTATTTAACACTGCAATTCGCTATAAAACAAGAATAAATAAAAGTACACAAACAAGAATAAATAAGATTAATAAGGCACAGATTATAAAACTATAAACCACTTCTCTTTCACTGTTGACTGCTTCTATAAAGCTCTGCAGAGCTGAGGAGGAACTCTAATAATTCTCTCTTTTACAGTACAAACAATCATTTTATCCATTGCTAATATCAGAATATTGATCAGCAGCTTTACGTGTTTTATTATATTTTCTTTACTCTTTGCACTACACTCCCCGATGCTGCTACACAGGATCAATAAAGGAACATCTTATGTTTAGATTAATCCTGTATATTGCAGTTATTATTATTATTTTTATTATTGCATCTGTTCCAGGCGTCCTGGCACCCCGAGCAGCGGCTGTTTACCGACTGATCCTCAGACTGTTTCAGGTATTTTGAGCATTGAGACGTAATAATAATAATCCCTCCAGCTGTGTCTCCTGGACGCTAACAGTCTGTTTCTTCCCTCCGGAGACGCAACGTGAGCGAACATGCTTCCTAAACGTGGCTCCGGTACCGATCACGGCGTCCTCCGGGGCAGGAAGTGGGTGCAGGACTGGTGGCGGCCCACGCTGTTGCCCTTCCTGAGCTCCCCTTTGTGGGACAGCGCCAGATAGACGGCCGGGTGAGACACCGAGGAGTAGGTGGTGTAGTGGTTCTCCTCCAGGTTCTCCTTCAGCAGGCAGTCGTCAGAAAACCGCTCCTGGAAGAAGAGATTGGATGTGATCTGGTTGTTCTTTTGGGTTCCTGTTGGTGAGTTTATCTTTAATGTTACAGCAGTGAGTTACGTACCGCCCCGTATGCCAGCCCGTCGGCGCTCATACAGACGTACAAGCCGCTCTTCACTCCTCTGATTCCCACCACGCCGTGTTTCATAGCAAACACCTTCAGCCAGCCTGGAGGAGACGGAGAGGAATCAGTGTGTGAAGGCAGACAAACACTTAAAACTGGGTCAGAAACAGTTTTAATGTACAGAACGGAGACAGTAACAATTACAGGGTTCCCGCTCTTTCTCTCAGTTTATGGGACTGCTGTCTTTATCCAAACCTTCTATTCGGGACCGAGGTCCTTTACCACTGCTCATAACTGGCATGGTGAGCTGGTTGTTCCATTATAATCTGTTCATTACTTGTATAAAAATGAGGCTTTAGAATAACAGATCAATTATCAATCGTTCATTTGATCTGATATTTATAACTTGGATTGATTTTTATGAAAAACCAATTTGATTCTTTTGATCTGTGAACCTTTAGGGACTGAAAGAATATAAATAATGAAGGAACAGACACATATTCAGACTGACTGTTTCTAAAGGTTGGGAGTCAGCACTATTTTCATCTCTCTTGTTCACCGTGCCGGTAAAGAGGAGCTATAATTTAATTATTTCCAAGATTTTTGGTCATTTTAATAAATTTCCAGGTGTTTACATAATTGGAAAACTACTCTCTAAATTTCCAGGTTTTCCAGGTTTTCCAGGATATGTCGGTGCCCCGGGTAAGGGGGACGGGGGGGTCTACAGTATGTGGGATGAACTCACAGTTCTCGGTGGGTTTGTGGACGCCTCCCACGGAGCCGTTGGGCAGAATCTGGAGATGGTAGCCAATCCCGACGCGGCAGTAGAGCAGCTGCTGTTTGACCCCGTCTCTGATTGGCTGAGGACCAGAACCTGCTGCTGGTTATAAGGTGAATGTAAAGTGAGTTAGTTAAAAACGTCCTTTAGTACACTGATATTGTTAGTAATAGATTACAGATATATTTACTATTATTAGTAACATTTGTCAGATCAATCTGTAGTTCAGCATTCGGTCTCACAGTTTGTACAATATAGGTTTATCACTGTTGACTGACGGGACAATGAGTGTTTACAATGATCAATCTGTCCATCATTATCAAAATAATCAATTAGTTATTGCTCCATAAAATGTCAGAAAAGGGTGGAAAATGTTGCCGACGTCCTCAAATGTCTTTTTGTCCAAAGATTTTCAGTTTACTGTCACAAAGAACTTTAAAGGAATAAAGAAACAGAAAATATTCACATCTGAGGAGCTGAAAAAAGATTTCTCTCTTAAAAAATGACTCAAAACTATTAATTATAACTGATTATCAGAATAGCTGGAGATGAATCATTCTGGGTAAATGTCTTAATAATTAATAACTGAAGGGAAGTTTCCTTCATTTAACAACTGAAAGTCAAATGTAAACAACAATAATTTATTATTTATAAACCAGGAATATCAAACCATTATCCATTAGTATCCTTCAGTATGTGCACCATCATACCAACATACTTTACCTTTTTATTCCCTTTATTGATCCATTTTTACTCTATGATGGATTTTATAAATGTATTTTAGTGTTCTGAAGCACTCTGTGTTTCAATATGAGTTCTAATAATAGGTCTAATAATTATGTTAAATACCAACCGGTTCAAGTTAAACTGAGTTCTTTCAGTCTGAACAGTTAAAGTAAACTCAGATCAGCAGTTTTCCAGGTGTTTGCTCACCTTTTCCCTTCAGCAGCGAGTCCTTTATGTGCAGCTTCCAGAGTCCTCGGAGTCGAGAGCCGTGGTCCTCAGGTGAAACCACCGCTTCCTGTTTCGTGGCTCCCGCCGGTCGATGGCACACGCTGACAACCAGCAGCAGCAGCAGCGGCGGCGAGGAAGCTTTCATATCGATCAGACGGCTGCCAGAGACGTCTGCTCACGAAGGTCCAGGCCTCCTCTTCCTCCTCTTCCTGCTGAGCTCCACTGCCTTCTCCGCTCATCCCCTCCACACACACACATTCTGCTTTTATCTCCTCGCCGCCTCTCTCTGACAGCGCCGTGGCGAGATACTCGTTATCAGCCGCGTATCGCTGCCAGCAGCAGCCTGAACACACATGCTGTCCTCTGGAGCTGCAGGACGAAGCTCCTCTGAGTCCTCGCCGGCGTCCCTGCAGGGCGACCCCGCTGCCAGCGACACGGTCTGCCATTCGTCTTCCTCGCAGGACGGAGAGCAGTTGCATTCTGGGTGACGGGGTGCAGTGTGCTGACGCAAGCGTGTTTTGGTGTCGCCCAATCAGACCTCTGACAGGCGAGAGACATGCAAACTGTCTGTTCGGTATCACAATCAGTGAGATTGGAGAGCGGCTGAGCCGATAGCGAGAGCAGGAAAACCTCCTGAACACAAAGACCGGCTCCCAGACCGGCCCGCTTGTTTTATACCGACACCAGTGTGAGGACACGAGTCAGAAATATAATAGTCACTGTGTTTAATCACCTGAACGGACGAAGCAAACACTGCAGATAAACAGACTGTCAGTTTACAAAAGGAGAAAAACCAAAATTAGCTGTTTTACGTGCTTTTATTTTGAAAATAAACAGAAAACTATAAAATGACCCAGATTCTGTTTTTGTTTTGAAAATAAGAAAAAAGAAAACAAAAACAAACCCGTTTTGTGTTTTGAAAACAAACAGAAAACGATAAAATAACCTGTTCTCTCCGTTTGTTGTTGAGAAAACAGAAAACGGAAAAAACGAGGTACAAAACAGGAGGGTGAGGCGAGGGATTCGCTATCTCCAAATCCTCTTTACCTTTAACAGTGTTAATAAGACAGGAGCAGCGAGTAGTATTCAGTGGCGAAGTAGCAGATTGCAACTAACTGAACACCACTCGTGTCTGTATCTGACGACCTGGGAGTGAGAACGAGCTGCTACTGAACGGACCTCTGGGTGGACAGACGGTGCTGGTTGAAGCTTTTATAAGTTATTAATTATTATTAATATTATTAATGTCCACAGCGGTTGTTTTATAATTTACAGAAAAGTAAAACCTACTATGAGGCTGCAGCTGTTCTCAGTCTTTTATTTTCTACTAAAACAAAGTGTTAGAAATCATCATTTTTATAGGAACAGATTCTGTTACAATATGGATTCATTAAGAATAAAGATCATCTGTTGCTGCTCACAGACACTTCATAAAGTATTATGTATTAATTCTTATAGGATAAAATGAATAACGGTGAAGTACAGTAAAACAGAAATGTCTGAAACTCAAAAACTATTTATACTCTTTTATTCTTGATACAATCAGAGTTTAATATCAATCCTTTGTGATTCAGTGTAATATGATATTTAACATGTTTCCTACAATAAGATCAGCTTTGTCTACCAGTTCAAGAGATAAACACGTGAAATCAGACGTTGTTTTATTTTGAATCACAGTGTGCAGGATTTCCCAGGACCTGGTCTGAGTCCCGGTCTGAGTCCCGGTGGCTGCGTGGGAACAGATGTTTATTAACAGCTCGTAGCTCTGCAGCTGTAGATGTGAACGTGCTCATACACAGGATGTTTCCTTCACACACTCATCATGTGACTGGTGATAGGACGCAGTGTCTGAGCGTGCAGCTCCTATCTGAGGTGAGTAACAGCGCTGATTGTACATCGATGCACGAGGCGCGTTCAGACCTCAGCAAGCGTTACAAACACTGCAAACCTCAGCAGACATTCGGGCGCTCGGACATCGTTTAGTCTCTTCATGATCAACAGGAGGATTTTATTGTAGCCAGTGAAGCTTTAAAGGCTTTAAATGAGCTCAGTAAACGTTCAACATCATTATTTAAACACATTGGTATGATTTACAGCTCATTTTACAAAATTAAAAACATTTCTGTTTGTCATTAAGCTGATTCTTGTGAAGAGTTTAAATGTGTTTACAACAAGATGGAACAGAGTGGAATGTTAATAACAGTTGATGCGTTTCGCTCTTATTATTATTATTATTATTATTATTATTATTGATTACAGATTTTATTTACACCAATAAACAGTTTACCAACAGTCAGAGCTACGAGGCTCCTTTAGCTCTCAGCTTGGACAGCAGCATCTCGTTCTTCCGACACTCCTGCAGACACAAACATCATCATCATCATCATCATCATCATCATCAGAGAGCCATGATACAGTTATCATGTAATATTAATATTAGATTATATATGAATAGGTTTATTGAATATGTTTGTGTCTGTAATAAGGTCTGAACACAGAGGTTCACAGTTTGTTCTACGACAACAATGAACGCAGTTTAAGATCTAATTTATTTAATTTATGAAGGAAAATCAGTATCAGCTCCATGATGCTTTAACAAATATAAAATAAAACCATCAATAAAACATTTTCCCAGAAATATATTAAAAAAGGACCCTTGAGGAGGATTTAGAAGACAAATTATTGTATTAAAGAAGTTAACATTTCTTGTATAAAGTCGGATTTAAGACTTTAAATTCAGGTTATTAGATTTTAGACTTTAAGACATGTCATACATACAGTTTACTTTGTGTATATATATATATATACACACACATACATACATACATACATACATACATACATACAATCTGTATTACTATGTATTTGTACATCTTACGACATTTCACTTCTGATATTTGCGCCACATAATCAGATACAGCTAGCTAAAAATAATAATGCAGTTTAATACAGCAGCTTCCAACCTTTGTCTTTAAATAAAGAACATTTTCTATCATTAATTAAACTGCGTAAGTGACAGATTTTATGGATATTTCTTATTTTATTCAAAACTGAAAGAAGTTTGTGTAAAACAAGAGATTTTGATGAATTATGAGATTATTTCCTGTTTAAGGAACTTTTTATACAATTATCTGTATTTTTTAAATATTTTTTAATAAACAGACTCATTAAGCTTCTTTTTTTGACAAATTCAGTGTTTTTTCCTCCCTGATGTTTGATTGTTGTTCTATTAGACAATTTACATTGAAGTTTTCTAGCACGTCTTAAAATCAAGAAGGCGTGGCGACCCCCTATGAAGCTTTAGCGACCCCTAGTGGAGGCATCTACTATAACAGCCCAGCTATAAATCCTCCATTACAATGTTATAATGTTCAGATGAGTTTATTTAACTGTTATTAAGTTATAATGACGTGTTTTAACACTTTGTCCACCCACTGATATCAACCAACATAAGAAATAAGACATTAAAATGTCGGGCGGGTTCGCTGGTTCTCACCTCTTTAAAGTCTTTGACGGTTTTGAAGTAGAGCCTCTGTTTGTCGAGCAGCTCCAGGTATTCGTCGTTCAGCTGATCTCTTCTCATCTTGTTCTCCTGCTTCTTCTTCTCCATCTGGAAACAGAGCAGACGTCACGCTAACACTAACGGCAGCTCGTTGGAACGAGGCCTCTGGATACGTTTTATTACGCAGAGTAATAAAGTAATAAAGAGTTTTACCTTAATGCGATTCTGTTTGATTCCCTCCACGATTTGTTCCATCTGTCTGAGGAACTGATCCTTGGCGGCTGAAGACGACATCGCCCTGAAGAACGATACAGCAGCTTACTGACTGAACCAACAGGTGGCAGGAAAACATACAACAGACGGTTTCTCTTCTATCAGTCAGTGAACTCACTGTGACTTTATTTTATAGAAGAATCAACATATAACAATAAACTGCACCATGAACACAAACAGTGACTGAAGGAAGTCTGTGTAAAACCAGAGATTGGGATGAATTTTGAGCAGATTATTTCCTGTTTAGGGAAGTTTTTAGACAATTCTCTGTCTGTATTATGGATTTTCTTCATTTTTAACAATAAAGCTTATTTTCTAACAGATTCAGTGTTTTCTAAAGCAGGAGCTGTTAATCAGACTGAAGCTCTGTGACTATAACCTGTGTTCTCTGAGCCCTCAACCTGTTTATATTTAAATAATATAAAAAACTTTTCAAAGATAATTTCGTTCAGTTTTTAATCACATAAATTAATGAAATGCTATAGACCTGCTGACCCCTCGAGGGGGTCCCGACCCCCAGGTTGGGAACCACAGCAACAGACGTTATACTTACTGTTGGAAGTTGTCATGAATTGAATTCAGCAGATTCACCTGCAGACATGGAAACACATTATTCTCATTATTATTAAGGACATACACACGTCTGCTTCCATTTATTTGTTTCCATTGTCAACTAATCAAAACTCAAACTGGACCTAGTTGACAATCACAGGTCCTGTTTACACCTGATATTAAAATGTGTCTCCAGTGAACACTTGTGATCAGATCTCACTTCCCCGCTCTGCATGCAAATAAACAAACATTATTCTGGTTTGCAAAGATCGAATACAAAATCAGTTCTAACCGGCGGCCTAACGGTAGTAGCCGACACACCGGGGCCAACTGATCATTTCTAACACAATAAATAAATAAATGAATGTGTAACGTTTGCCGAATTTACAAAAAGGCCCAAAGAATTAACAATCTGTCGTAAATAACGTTTCACAGTTTATAAAGTTTCTCTTCGCTCAATAACTCACTAAATTGAGCGATTTTTAAAGGGAGTCTGGTGATATTGCTGTTATTAGTTACATCAGCTGTTTATGCAGATTTAATATCACAAATACGTCCTGAGCGAGTGTTTAGACTGATCTGATCTCACATGTTACTGCCGGGTGTAAACAGGCTCACAGATTTACTTCCTGTGTTGTTACTCACCTCCTTCTCCAGATAAACCTTCTTATCGTCTAACGTGTTGTACAGAGTGAAGAACTGTTTGGTCTCTTTGTGTGTTGCAGAAACTAAAACACAAGAATTAGCACTGATTCAATGAGTTTCTGCTTTTTGGAGACATTTTTACAGTCGGAGAACAAACGCCGGTTCAACCCACCTTGGCTGTAGAGTTCGATGAACCTCTTCTGGTACTGGGTCAGCTCGGCCCGGCTCGGCACCTCGTCGATCTTCCTCTGCAGGATGGCGATCTCTCGGTTCCTTCGAGCCTGAACACAGAGAGAGAGAGAGAGAGAGAGTTTAAAACGCTCAGAGCTCGTAGATTTTTATTAACAATTAATCACAACAAATAGGAAACTACTTGATGTACATTTTATTTACAGACTTCTGTCATTAATATTCTGTTGAAGCCGAACAAATCGCTAAAAGAAATTACAAAAAAAACTCCAAACCAACAATGAACGGATCTAGTAACTATTCTCCGTGTCTCCAATCTATAAACTACATTTTACATCATCAGGTTGTTCATTTAATAATTCCTCATATTTCTTAAGATGATTAAAAGTCTGTTTTATCCGAACAGTAACTGTAAATCTACATTTAAATGGTTAAAAGATAAAAACAACATATATAATAGTCACACTGTCACTTTGTTTTATCTGCAGCCTTTTATCTGCTGACCTAAACGCTGCTGCAGCATCTAATCTAGAGTTCAGTCGTTACCATGAGCAGACGGATCTTCTGCAGTTTCTCTCTGTCTGTGTTGTACTGTTTGTCTATCAGCTGGTTCCTCTCCTGCGAAGAGAGGACGAGAGGAAGAGGAGCACAGAGAGTTACAACAACTCAACAAGAAGTTTCTCACAATATTTAGATTCTGAAGCATTTTACATTTTATTTTTATGGATTATTCACTTTTTTTTTTAATGTGAACAGGTTGTAATTTATATGTGACGTTGATGTGTCAGTGTACTAAGTAAGGTTATCGTGAGCTTCTCCTGCTAACGTGATCCATGATACTAACTTAGAGTTGATTTTAGCCAATAATAACTGATGTAACAGGACGCTGACTGCAGTTCACTGAGCGGCCACTGGAGGCGCTATAACAACAGTTTAATGACAGTTACATAAAGAAGCTTTAAGATAAAGACTGAGTGAATCCTACTGAACCTCGTCCTCCTCTGTATTCTGTCCTGATGCCGTCTTCAGCTCCTCAATGTTCTGCTGCAGTCGGACCATCTCTTCCTGCACATCAAAGACAAAATCAGCAATTTACAGAAAGAAATAACCTCCTCCCTTTCATCCTGTGTTCAGTGCGAACAGCCGGCAGCATTAACAGGATGCTGATGTACTCACTCTGCAGTGAGTGCGGAAGTCCTGCTCCTGCTGCTTCAGGTTCTCGTTCATCGTCACCAGAGCCCTCAGCTTCTCCAGGAGGCTGCACCAACACAGGACACGCCATTAATCAAACACAGGGTTCACGTCCTCTCAGAGCCTCCTCACTGCTCCCTTTCACATACATTTTAGATCTTCTGAAGCACATATTCAACCTCCAACCCTCAGAAACGACTGGCTTTTTCAGTTTATAGTCTCTTTAAGTTTATCTGAAGGCAGTTTAACACGATGGTCTACTATCTGACGACTAATATCCCTTAATAATAATATCTCACTTATCTCTTCTGCACAAAATCTGTTTAATCGTGTAGTTATTCACTAATTCTGGATGTCAGATTTGTGTCTCTAATAACATTAAATGAAAATGTATCCGGATGAGTGAGAGAAACATTAATTAAGGCTAAAACTTCCTGTACATGTGTGAGTATCAAATTAAAAGTCCCTTTCAGTCTGATAAACAGACAGAAGAAACCAACAGTGTGCTGTAACGTCTGAGAAGGAGCTGCAGTTGCTTCCAGCTGCCACAAGAGGTCAGTAAAAGTGTGTGTAATAAACTGAACCAAACACTCATTTAACTTTAACAACTACAGGTTTTGTTATTAATATCAGAGAGGACTTTAAATCTGCTGCATTATATTTTATATAGAGATATAAAGTGTATGAAGATCCTCTCTCTCACCTGCTGTCAGCCTGCTCCTCCATCTCCTCCAAAGACTTCAGCTCTTTGTCCAGTTTCTCTGAGATCTCTGTCGCCTGCAGAGACACAAACAGCCGTTATACTGAATGTATGTTTGTACAATCCCTGTTACAATGTATGAACGACTGATTGTAAAGTTCTTCTGTAATACTGAGCTCAGCTGATTGTTTTGTTTCAGTACAGCAGATGTGACCTCTGACAGTTATTAATTGTGTCTGCAGACGTAGAACAACCGGATCATTTCTGTGAAGCCTCGTCTCACCTCCGTCAGACTCTTTTTGGCCTCGTCGCTGCCGGTTTTCACCTCCGTGTGTTTGGCTCGTAGCTGTTAATGAAACATAGAAACACTTGTTACTGACAGTTAGTTCACCGTCCTTGAAATCAAAGAACGCTTCATTTTACAATCTTAATTTAAGCGATAATTAAGGTGCTTTTAAGGGGTCAATTTTATGTCCAACAGGTAAATAAATACTGAGTGCAGAATGTATCATCTACTCCATTACAAGTCGACTACAGTGGACTCTACAGTGACTCTACAGCGGACTCTACCATGGACTCCTAACAGTGGCATCTAACCAGCGGAACTCTCCCACAGCGGACCTAGCAGCGGACTCTACAGTGGACTTCTACAGCGGGATCTACAGGGACTCTACAGCGGACCTCTTACAGTGGACTCTACGCGGACGTCTACAGCGGATACAGCGACTCCTAAGCAGCGGACTCTAAGTGACTCTAACAGGTGGACTCTTACAGTGGACCTCCTACCAGTGGACTCTACATGACTTCTACAGTGGACTCTACAGCGGAACACTACAGTGGACCTACAGTGGGCTCTACAGCGGACCTCTAAGCAGCGGGCTCTTACAGCGGACTCTCAGCGGACTCACAGTGGACTTACAGCGACTTTACAGCGGACACCTAACAGTGGACTACAGTGGACTCTACAGTGGATCCAGTGACTCTACAGGCGGACCTCTACAGTGGACTCTTACAGCGGACTCTGACAGTGACTCTACAGCGGACCACTACAGGTGGGACTGACAGTGGACTCTACAGCGGACTCTACAGGCGGACTGCACAGCGGACTCGTAACAGTGGGACTCTACAGCGGACTCGTACAGCGGAACGTCTACAGTGGAGGCTCTCAGTGGGACTCTACAGTGGACTCGTACAGCGGGTACTCTACAGTGGACTCTAGCAGCGGACTCTACAGTCGCGACTCGTTACAGTGGACTCTACAGCGGACTACAGCGGACTACAGTGGACCACTGACCTCCTCCAGCTGTTTGGTCTTCTGCTGGATCTGTTTGTGGACTGAAGCCACAGCCCTGCGGTGTTGCTGCAGCGGACCGTAGCGCTCTGAACGCTCCTCTGACGACAGCTCCGACTGCTGCAGGGACATAAAGGAGAGACAGAGCTTTAGATTACAGAGAGGACTTTTATTCAAGTGCCAGAGTTGGAAGAGATGTTTCTCACCTTCTCTGCGTACTCGGAGGCGATCTGTTTGATCTCCTCAGACTGCAGTCCCACTATCTGACCCACTGCACTCGCCGTCAGCCTCCCCTGCAAACACAAACAGCACTGTTCAGTTTACAGCAGCGATACAAAAGGTTCAGAATCCTGAGACTAGAGAGTCTACGGTGGTGGAGGAAGGTCCTCAGGTGAAGAGAGAGAGACCTCCTACCTCTTCATTTACCATGGCAGCCATACTGGTCATCAGAGTCTTAATTCGCATCTGAGAGAGAAAGAAAACCAGTTAGATCACATTATCTGTAGACACACAAACATACACAGGGTTCACACAACTTCCTAAACAGCAAAAGGACTTTTCAAGGCACAGTTCCCTCAAATTCAAGGACCCGTCACAGTTTAGTTTGAGACAGGGATGTTGGTTAATTAGTAACAACACTGAGAATTTCTAGAAGGAGAACTAGCAGGTTTTACAGGAGGAGCATTTCTTTACAATAACAATAAAAATCGAAAATCGAAAAATCTTTACCATCCAAATTCAACCACTTTTAGTGAACCGGATTGATTTTCGCCCTCAAATTCAAAAAACTTTGAAGGATTTTAATGTAGAAACTGTTTAAAAAATAAAGTTACTAAAGATCTAAACTAAAGAAAATCATATTAGGACATATAAACTGCTCTTCTTACAGAATTTAACACATTTATTTAGGCACATTATAAAAATATACAATAAAAAATAATTTAATGATCCGTTATAGTAACGTTTTAGACTCAGTGACAGTCTGAAGTTCAATGTGTTTGGAAAACTTTAAGAACAATAGTGATTCCTATTCAATGTTTTACTGATGTGCCATTTGATAAGTTAATGTTTCTGAGTTTAAATATCTTCATTTGTGGTCTTTTCCAGGTAAATATTGATAGATTGTGATTGTTTCTGGAACTGTAGGAGAGAGCTACTCTCCATTTCAACCAGATCTACCTGCAGGTAGGAATAAAGTAACCCAACCCCTTAAAGTCTCACCTCCTCCGCAGCCTGCATGTCGTCCTCCTCCGACACCTCCGCCATCCCAGGGGGCGCCGCCTGAGCGCCGTCGGCCTGCGAAGCCTTCCTCCCGTCCGCCTGGAGGAGACAGACAGACGACAGTAAACGCCGGTTCGCACATAAAGAATGACTCTCTGAGTAAAAACCAAAAACACAGAGACGCCTACCTCGTCCTGTTTGGACTGTTTACTGAACCCGTATCGCCTGGAGACAGAAAAACAACAACAAGCTCAGTGACATAAATAAAGTGTGAACATAGAGAAAGTATTTCCTTCAGGGTTCAGATATACACCATGCTACATTACAACATCAGCACACGGAGGGGATAAACAGCCGCCCCTCGCCACCACTCTTCGATTACAGAAAGTAAAAAAAGCAGCACCACAGTTTGCATCCATCATGCCTGAAACAGGTGAGAACTGTTTGCATTCTGCGACCGACACAACACACAGCGAGGGGAGAGAGTCACACGGTCACTCAGTACTTACAGGAGGAAATCTGACATTCTAGCACAGAGGTGGAGATGGACGGACGGATGAAAGAACAAGTCAGACAGATACAGACATGAGATGTGTGGATTAAAGACAGCAGGGAACTCTTCACAGCCTCGTCTAAAGAGGTTACAACCAGGTGTCAGGGGTTATTGATAGTGTTGATTGATGGAGAGATAGATCGATCAGTTTGTGTGCGAGACTCAAAAAAGTGTTTGCAAGTGTTTCTGGGAAATGAGTTTTAATTTTTGTCTAAAAAATAATCTTCTTGAACATGTTTTACATTAGAAAAGTAATCTGGTTTTAATAAAATAATCTAACTGTGTCCTTAATAAGATATCCCAGCTGATACTGAGCTCCATTTAACCAGGAACAACAACGGTTGCATAATATCCCAGCACAGGAACCAGATTATTGTCCTTATTTTCAGAATAAGAGCACTCACACAACTTCTCAGTTTAAGAGAAAGTCGTCTGGTCCAGTGTTGGAAATGAAGCAGGCTGTATGAAAATAAGAAT